ATGATAATAATAATAATAATAATAGTGATAAATATTAAATATATTAACAAGAGAAGCAGGAAGAAGCACGCTGTTATTTAAACTCAGCCCACACTGTTACTTCCTTTTTGTTTTCATAAATCTGTTTTTACAATGTGCTGCATTTGTTTTGTTTACATATTTATTCATGTATATTTACACATACATAGAAACATGTTCTTTCTTGCATCTATTTTTGTACCAGTCTTCCATCTGAGTCACGTTTCAGTTCATCGCTGATCACCATATAAAGCTCGAGTATCTACATAACTTGAATGTTATTTTATATTTTGTCATATATTTTTTAAGGCCTCGCTGCGCTTTGAGCCTAATGGAGCACAAACAGCAGACGGCGTGACGGAGCTGTGAGATCACTGCTGGTCATAAACGAGAGCTAGAGTCCCCGACTGCCCAGAGTTCAGCTGCAGACATCATGAGTGGATTTTGTGGATGGACCTGAAGACATCTGGCCGGGCAGCTCGTCTTCTGCAGTCCTTGAGTCTGCATGCTTACAGCAGATTAAATAGCAGGGATGAGGGCGGTGTCGGCTACTGTCAGCTCCACAGGGGTTCAGGAAGTACAGCAGGTCACCTACTCGTTGGAAGGTTGGTGGTTCAATCCCCGTCTACTCCAGTCTGCATGCCTAATATCGTTGGGCAAGAAACTTAGCCGAAGCACTTGGATAGAAAAAAAAGTGCTTGTGTGATTGAGGCGAGTTGTATAAAGTGCTACAAAAGAACGATTCCTCTTTGGGACCTAAAGACCAGGATAAACTCCATCTAAGGCAAAGCGCATGATTGGTCCAGCACCACCATGCTGCTTGGTGCAGGAGGATCTCCTGCTGCTATCAGCGGGTCCTCTGTGGCAGCAACGCATAGTTGGCTCTGCACTCAACTTCTGCAGATTTGGATTTTGGACTTTGTTTCTTCTTCTTCTTTTCTTTCTTTAAAATCAGGTGCACCTGAAATGTTGCCATCCTTTGGTTTTCAATCATTCTGTGCTCGAGGCTCACCTGAGAGGCCCTGAATCCTCACTGTGTTCATCAGGGCGGTGTTGTGCCACCAATGAGCCAACAGCAGCACACAGTATCACATGAATGATAATCTCTATCCTCTGTGGGCGTATCTGGGAAAGATCAGCCAGAAGTGCAAAGCAGTCACGATCTGTTAGAGACAAACAGCAAACATCCGCCGCTTCGTGCGCTCAGCGTGCGCAGAGGTGACCTTCCTCTGAGGGAGGGACGACCTCATTGAGGCCATCTCCATCTGACAGCGTTGAAGGTTACGCCTCCCGTCTCAAACGCGCTCCTCTGCCCCGTGGTTTCTCCTCCTTCACCCGTCACAGCCCAACATGCTCTCAGCTCTTTATTATTAATGCTCCTCATTAATAAACAGCCATCATGAGCGGTTGCACCACGTCAGCTGCTGCACACGTACGAATAAATAAACGATGTACTGTAGTCTGGAAAGACAAACAGCCTTTGAGTGCATCAAAGCAGGTGGAGCCGCTGCAGGCGATTCTGACTAACCTTAATCTGCCTCTGAAGACATCACAGACGTCACTTCATCTTTTTGCCTCAGAGCAAATAGAAGGAGACCGACCGGTCGTAGCCGGAGGGCTTCCATTCCCCAAACCTGTCAAAAGGCATTTTCCTAAATTAGAACAATACTATTATTAATTTACAGAGCTGGATCTGCCGTACTCCTGAGGGTTTCGCTTAAAAGGTTGTTAATATGAAACAAAAGCTCTTCTGTCGTCTGCATCCACCAAACATTCGACCACAAGGCAGGATTATTTTTTGTGGCTAAACACAAATCAGCCACGACTACTGGAGCTCATAGCACCAGGTGCTGTTTCACTACCTGCTCGGGGTTCCAAGTGAGCCGAGGGGATCCCGAAATGTGACGCCAACAGACTGAAGGTCACCGATTGGCTGTAAGTGGCGCCACTTGAAGAG